TTTTTAAAATCTAAACATCTATTGAGAAAAATACCAATAGCAGATGAAGTGGAGAAACTCACCAGTCACACTCCAGAGTCTCAGCCATGTTTCCTAGACATCTGGATAGTAGGAAGATGTGCTCTCAAACCTGCCCAATCTGGTCTAGTCTAGTGGTTCTTATACCATATCCAGTCACATTCCACATGTGGCCCCAGGCCTCCTGGGGTTGCTCAGGTCTCCCTAAAAGAGCTTTCTTTAGGTGTCAGGTGACTGTCACATGCCCTCTCAGGCTGGGCATAATCTTGGAAGTCACCCCAGGGTCCTAGAGGATCATAGCTCCTAAGGCTCGGTCTAACTGGAATGAGGCTCACCTGTTCTCCTTTTACAACTTGTTCTCCCAAGCTGGATCTCCACCCTGACCTCCGGGCCTCTACAAGAGGTCAGTTTATGCAAAGCACAGATGAGTCCAGTAATCCTCTTGTCTGTGTCTGTTTTAGCCCTACTTTCAGATGAGACAATGGTGTTGATGGCTGAGGGCAGGTAGCAGGTTGCCGCCAACATGTCTGAGCCTTAGCATCTCATTCTGGATAGTGGGGTTGTCTGCCCAGCAAGGCTGTTGTGAGAAGGTGCTGCTATGGCCTCTGTACTGTTCGATTTGCTCATGTTACTGTTTTCATGGCACCAGAGACTTCAAATCTTACGCTGTCCTGGGAAGCTGCCAATCAAATCTCCAGCAGGAAATGAATGATGAGGGAGGAGACTTGGCAAGCTCTTCCCTCAGGATAAATGGTGGCTATCTATTGTGGGGTGCCAAACATTAGGGATACAGTTAGCACTTCCACTAGGATGCCACAAGAATTGTTGTTTTCTGTGTGTGTGTTCATGGGGGGTGGGGAAGGGACTTATGCCGGGTGGGGGGTGGAGGTCAACCTCCAGTGTTGTTCTGGAGCTGTCTTCCTTGGTTTTTGAGACAGGGTCTCTCATTGGCCTGGCACTCACTAAGTAAGCTAGGCTGGCATGTCCCACCATAACTGGCTTTTTACATGTTTTCTAAGGCTCAAATTCAAATGCTCATGTTTGTGCAGCAAGCACTATGGGCTAAGCTATCTCCCCAGCTGGGAATGTCTTCAACTTCAAGTCTGCAGCTTTGGCAACACACCCCTCCCTGATCTTTGGCCTTCACACAGGATAAGAGGCAGCAGAGAACCTGGACTATCCTCTGAAGTCAGGTATGGATTGGGCTCCTCAGCACATAGCAGGTGGTGGCCACTGTTAAGGCGTCAGCAGAAGCAGGCAAGGGCCAGGACCTAAAGTCAGAAGAGGCCAGATGAGAGAGAGGGTCAGGTTAGTGCCATCTCTCTCCTCCTCCATGGCTCATCACCCCTGGCCTTTGGTCCTATGGATCTGGGTCAAGTTACCTTCTTGTGCCTAGAGCCAAGCATTCAGAACAGTTGGGAGCAGATTGCTCTGAAGAATCAAATGAAGCCTGGAAGGACAGGGTCCAAGGTTCTGTGACTCCAGGGGCCCTTCTCAGCCAGGCCTGGCATCCAACAGCAGGTTCTGAGAGAAAGCCAGGCTTGTGGACCCTTGAAGGCTATGGGCTCAGGAAAAGCAACTGCTAATCTTGAATCAGGCCCTTACTTTCTCTTGGACCCTCAGAAGTTCCGACCCAGGTCCTGACGAGTGTGTGAAGACAGGGACAGCTGAACCACTCTGGTCCAGAACTACAGGCAGGTCAGCTCCGCCATGGTGGGGGCTGAGAGGGAGGAACAGGCTCAGCCATGTTTGCTGTAGCTCCTCCTTTAGATGCTTGGATGTGCCCACAGTCCCTTAGGCCTGCTGTTCAGGGCCATCTGCCATGGTCTCAGGCTGCAACAGCCTCTGTTCTTCCCAAGCTTTTAAGGATCAAACCATCTCTGAACTCCAGGCTGGTTCACCTCAGCCCATGAGCAGGCTCTTGAGCTTTCCTTTCTAGCTCTTTCCTCCCCATCTCCAGACCAGGAGTGGTCCCCGCTCCTCCCTCAGCATCTCTCTCAGTGCTCCATCTGGTGATCTTCCAGGCCCTCCTCTGGGGACAACCCCTGAGATGTGGTCCCCGCTCCTCCCTCAGCATCTCTCTCAGTGCTCCATCTGGTGATCTTAGCCATTCCAGCGCTCCGAGACCACAAACCCAAATCCCCAGGCTGAATGGCTCTCCGGTGAGCCCTTTGTCCTGGTTCTTCTGGAAATCCTAGTGCTGAATTGCCATTCCCCAACCTGCTTTCCTTCATTGTACCTCTCCACTGGGCAAAACCTGGGCAGCTCCCCATACCCAGAGTCAACAAGTTGTCTACTCTGCCTCCGCTGAATTGCCATTCCCCAACCTGCTTTCCTTCACTGTACCTCTCCACTGGGCAAGAAACCTGGGCAGCTCCCCATACCCAGAGTCAACAAGTTGTCTACTCTGCCTCCTTCCTGTTTCTGGAGTCTCTGTGCCACACCTGTGCTGCAGCGTAGGTCTCATCACCTTGCTCTTTCCCTCTACTCCTCAGATCTGCAGCCACAATGGCTTTCTAAAATTTTTAATCATTATTAGTGAGGGTGGGTATGGGCAGGGTGGCTTCCTGGGTCATGAAGATGGTCCCTTGTCTGGGAATGATTTGGAATAATCAGTCACACACACCCCCCAATCCTATGTGTGCTTCAGGACTCTGCCCTTCAAACCCCCCAAGTCTTGGCTAATTAGTGGTTAATTCTTGAACCAGGTTGAAACAGAGTGCCTTACCTGATTGCTGTTGGGAGTCACATGGAAAGTCACATCAACGTCCACCACCAGCCACAGAGATGGGACCACCTGCTTCCTGCCTCTGAAGTCAGCTGTTTCTTTGACTCTATACAAAAGTCAAGGTTTTTCCCCAAATTCTTTTCTACTGCTTGCAATTACAGAAGTTTAACTCAAGTTTCTCCCACCTTAAAGTAGCCTCCCTTGTTCAATCTTCCTTCAGCAACTATGGCCCCATCCTTCCTCTCCCCTTCCCTAAGATTCTTAGTAAAGTCTTCTTCTACGTTTGTGTCCACTCACTCACCTCCAGGCTCTCACTCCTCAGCCCAGTCATTCAACAAATGCAAGTGTCCCTTGGAACCTAGTGTCACAGGGGATAGGTTCTGGAACCCTTCACAACCCAAATTCACAGATGCTCAACCCTCTTCTATGAAATGGCGTAATATGTGTACATAGCCTGTGCAATATTCTCCTGTGTGCTTCAGATCACCTCTGAAGCACTTCTAACTCCTAATACGATCCCTGCCTGCCATTCCACTTCACGCACTCAGCACAGTACTTGGTGTGTGGCAAATTCAAAGTTCAATTCCTTGGATCTCCATGGAAACTTTTGCCAAATATTTTCAACCCATGCTTGGCTGAATCTGTGGAGGCAGAACCCTTGGATTCGAAGACCGTGTGTATTTAGAATCACCACTTTGTGTGAAAATCCGAGTGTACCAGTAAGACACAGCCTGGGGCCTCTGAGAGCTCACAGTCTAGCTGTTGAGACAGGGACAGTGAGGGGCAGGTGCTAAGTGTCATAAAGATTAAAATAATGCTGGGAGAGAGGGAGTTTCTGAGGGAGCCATTTTTCCTTTTTTCTAAAATGTGTATGAGTGTTTTGCCTGTTTGTATACAAGTGCACATGCATACAAACATGTGGAGGCCAGAAGGTGTTAGATTCCCAGTTACAGGGATGGTTGTTAGCAGCCATGCAGGTACTAGAGAAATCAAACCCAGGTCTTCTGCAAGAGCAACCACTTAACCACTCAGCCATCTCTCCAGCCTAGGGTCATTTTTCTTCAGGGTAAAGTGCAGTGATCTAGTAAATAACTCTCCACACCCATATACATGCAAGCAATCCTAATTAGGTTCAATGGGTTATAAAAAAAAAAAGTGTTGGGCATGGTGGAGCACGCTAATCCCAGCATTCAGGAGGTAGAGAGAGGCCAACCTGGTCTACACAGTAAGTTTCAGGCCAACCAGGGTTACATAGTGAGATCTTGTCTCAAAAAGAAGGAAGGTGACATATTGTGAAGAAGAATTCCAGAGGTAGTGGAAGGGGGGTGAGAGGCCTGGGGAACACGAATAAGACCAAAATGCATTATATACGTGTATGAAATTGTCAAGGAATAAATTAAAATTTTTATGCTTTTGACTTTGTGTATAAGTTCAAGTGTGCCATAGCAGGCTTGTGGAAGTCGAAGGACAACCTGCAGGAATCAGTTTTCTCCTTTTACCATGTGGGACTGAATTCAGGTTGTCAGGCTTAGCAGCAAGCCCCCTTACCCTCTGATCCATTTTACCAGCCCTTTTAAGATCAGACATGGTGGTGCACATCTTTAATCCCAACACTTGGGAGGCAGAAGCAGGTGAATCTCTGTGAATTTGAAGCCTGCCTAGTCTCCATAGCAAATTCCGGGTCAGCCAGGGCTATGTAGTAAGACTTTCAATTTTTTAAATATTGTATTTATTATTTTTATGTGTATGAGTGTATTGCCCGATGTAAGTGCACCTGTGTCATGCAATATCCTCAGAGATCAGAAGAAGGTGTCAGATCCCTTGGATCCCTGGAGTTACAGATGGTTGTTAGCCACCATGTGGGTGCTGGGAACCAAACCCAAGTCCTCTGCAAGAACAACCAGTACTCTTAACCACTGAACCATTTCTCCAGCCCACTGTCAAAAATTTTTTAAGTATTTTAGCTGGATGTGGAGGCACATGCTTTAATCCCCACACTTGGGAAGCAGAGGTGGGTGAATCTCTGAGATCAAGGCCAGCCTGGTCTCCATATTGAGTTCCAGGCCAGCTGTGGCTACAGTGAGACTCTGTCTCAAAAAGACAAAAAAACAAAAAGTATTTTAATAAAATAAAATAATCTGTGACAAGGGAGAGCTCATAGAAGGTACCCTGGAGGACAGATGGTCTGGTCTTTCAGCTATGAGTGATGTATTCAAATTCAAAGGAAATATAAAACCAGTAATGACTTCTTATGTTAATCCAAAATGAAAATAGATTTATTAATTCATGTGAAAAACATAATATATTACAACCAGATTACACACTTCATTGGTAAGAAAAACATTGTCTCTCCTGCTGGGGCACATGTGAAATCCTGAGGCCTGTGGACTGGGGTTGTCATCACTGAGAAAGGACAGGGCAGCCCAGGCAGGGGGAACAAATACCATAAGCATTTAGTTATGTATAGAGGACAGTGGGGGTAGCAGAGAAAGGAAAGCAAGCCACCTGATCACAGGGGCCTTTTCTCCAAATTCATTCCTTGTCAGGCTTTATCTTGGGACTGCAGGAGCCACTGAGAGTTATTGAGCAAAAGAGGGTCACTGTCACTCTGGTGACTAGTGTTAAAAAAGACTCCTGGTCAACCTTTAAGCACCAGACACCTGTGTCTCTGAGGCTTAAAGTACTGTTGTCTTTAAACTGTCAGGCATGGAAGGAAGGGCGGGTGGTGTCCAAAGATGGGGCTCACAGGGAAAAGTGGTCCCTGCTTCCTGCTGTCTCCATCTCACCAGCCCCAGGCTGAATGTAATTGTCCTCGATGAAACCATCATCATCCTCATCTTCACCCACCTGCGGACGGTTCCCACCCCCTGTTCCCGGCAATGGGCGATGTTGATAGCTGGCTCGATAACGGTGACAGAGGTGACATTTGGCAACAAGTGCGATGAGTAGGGAGAGGACCACCGCCCCCAGCACGACCCCTACTAGCACAGGCCATGCCCGGCCCCCAGTGCTCAGAACAGGGACCTCAGCTGATATGGTGGTGAATTCTGGGGGCTCCCCCTCAGCTGCAGAGAAAGGGACAGATTAACAAGAGGTTCCCAGAAGAGGCTCCCTGGGGAAACCAAGAACAGTGCAGGCAAAGCCCTTCCCCAGCTGAGGGGACCCCCTCCATCCCAGCCACCTGCCCCCTCCGTCACTCACTTTGGTTTACCTCACTCATGGAAAGGTCTGATGACATCAGTGAGCCTTGGACTCTGCCAGAAAAAGCCCTGGCTCCAGGGACACCCCAGACTCCAAGAAGCCCTAGGGTACAAGTCCTAGAAAATGCAGAAGTGTAGGGATCAGGGTCTGAAAGTATACCTCCCACACCACACTCACAGCCATGTTAGGATTCTGTACAGATGTTGGGGACTGGACCATTGCCCACACCACCACTCCACAGAAGAAAACAGAAACTGCTGTGCATTTTTCCAAGGGACAGTTACAGAACTCAGCTCTAGAAGCTGCTAAAACAATAAATCTCAGGGGCTGGAGAGACTGCTCAGCAGTTAAGAGCACTGACTGCACTTGCAGAGGACCCAGGTTCGATTTACAGCACCCACATGGCAGCTACAAACCGTCCTTAACTCCAGTTCCAGGGGAATCCGAAGCCCTCTTCTGACCTCCGCGGCATTGCACGACACAGGAGCACTCACATACATGCAGGCAATACACTCATACACACAAAAATAATAATAATAAAAAAGAAAGGTTTGCCTTTAAGAAAAAAGAAAAAAATAACCAATAAATTCTTAGAGGCAGGTGGATCTTTATGAGTTCGAGGCCAGCCTGGTCTACATAGTGAGTTCCAGGACAGCTGGGGCTACAAGGAGACCCTGTCTCAAAAAAAAAAAAAAAGACAAACAGCAAATTCTAATGTTCTTAGTGATTTAGATTTAGGTACCAGCAGTGTACTCATAAAATCCCATCATACAGGCATAAACACTGTCCCCACCTTGTAGATGAGGGCTCCCCAGGCCCCCAAAAGCTAAAATGGTTCAACCAAAGTACCAGAATTTGAACTCAGGTCTCTGACACTAGAGCCCAATCTAGCATGCTGCTTGGCAAACTGACAGGAGACAGGGCAAAGGCAGTTCAACAGCAACTGTTTGGAGCTACCCAGATTGCAAACAGAGCACATGAACAGAAGGTTGTTCCCAGACACAGCCTGGACAGCCCTGCCTCTGGGAGCCACAGCTACCACATATCCACCCTCAGTCCTTCCAGAAGTCCCTGTCCTCTATCCACTCTGCCACCCTAGGGGGCTCATACCAACGTGCTATCCCAGAGGACCACCTGAGTTGGAAATGATCCTTTTGAGGGTCCTGGCACTCGGAGCTGGGAAACCCTGGGGGAATTCCAGGGGAAACACTCAGGGAATCACCTGAGTGATTATGTGTATAAGTTTAGGCTTGGGCACCCCTGAAGGAGGAGCACCTGAGTTAAACGTATGTGGCGAAGCACACCTGATGGGGCACGACTAGAAAAGGAAGGGGAGGAGGGCAGCTGGGGCTGGGTAGTATCTGCAGGAGGATGGTCAGAATCAGGAGTCCCTAGGCACACTGGCCAGACCAGGGAGGTACCCAAAGCACCCAGCGCAGGGGAGTACTCAGCCACTCTCCTTAGTGCAGGCGTGGGAACGTTGCCTTCACTCAAGCTTCCCTAGCCCCTCCTCTAAATATCTCCAATGATACAGCCGTCCTCCCTACCCCTGCCAGGACCATGTCCCTCTAGCCACAGTCCCCAGGTGCAATCTCCTAACTGATGTTTAATGACCTCCAGTTCACCCCAGAGTGAATTCTGTCCCTATCACCTAGGGAAAACTCCAGAACTCCCCATTTATGAGGCCTAGCCTGTTCTTGGGGGCCTGGAAAGCCAACATGGGGCCTTAAGGCCAAACTCTTCTCCCTTCCACAGGGCCCTGCCCCATGCTCAGACAGATGGACAGACACACACACCAGACTCACCCACCCATCAGCTTTCCATCCCTCAGGGCCAAATCAGCCCTTCCTGCTGGTGAGGTTTCTCCAGGGTCCGAAGGTGACCTCGGCCTCATGTTGCCCAGTCAGCATCCAGTCAGAACTGGCCATTACCAGCTACAAAGCTCCCAGAAGCAGAGGGCTGGGGTGACTGTTGTGTGCCAGAGGTGGAGGGTGCAGGCTAGTAAGGTGGGGGTTGGGGGGTGACTGTATGGGGGAAGGGAAGCCTCAGAAAGGAGAGATACAAGTTCGTTCATTCATTCATTCATTTGCATTGCGAGCATTCTTTGGTAACCATCTGTGAACCTCTCTCCAGGCACTGAGTCCGCAACAAAAGAGCTTGTGCTGCAATGAATTCAATCTGACTTTTCTAAGATTTTACTCCTCCTACTCCTTTCCTTCCCTGTAAATTCTTTCCAAACACACACACACACAGTCACCTTCCAAACGCCTCTGAACCCGGAGCCCACACTGGCCTGCCCATCCCCCTCCAACTGTCACTTCACTACCCACAGCACAATAACACACACACCTTCTGATCTCACAGACATACACACCCTCAACTGGACCTGGTTTCTCTGCTGCACCCAGCAGCCCTTGTGAACCCGAAGAGAGCCGGGTACCCTCCCACACCCCACAATGTCTTCCCCCTCTGCTCCCACCTTCAGGCACTGTGCACAGTCGGTGGAGGTGGCTTCCGGCTGGGCCAGCTGAACCTGGACGGGTGGGAGGGCCAAAGCTACAACTTGACTCACCTGGAGAGGCCGTGGAGTGGGCGGGGCGGAAGTACAGGTGAAGGAGTGCTGGGTGGCACCTGGAACTGGCAGCTCCCTCAGCAGGGAAAACTCATCCTACATTTCCCCTAGTCTTGAGGAGAGCCCCCAATACTGAACGTTGGTGCAGCTGGGGGTGCAGAAGGGATCCAGCTAGTCCTGGAAGGGACAGACCTCAGCAGGCAGCTGCTTGGACTGGTAGCCCTGATAAACAAACGGATTTCAAGTGCTGGGTACAAAGTCCAAAGCTGAAGCTGGGAGTTTTACTGGCCTATGAATTCAAGCAGTGAACCAGATGGAACTTGCCAGGGGAGGGAGATTCTTCTCAGACAGAACCAGGGTAACCAAGCGTGTTCCAGACTTCCCTGCAATGTGCAAGTGTATGTCTGTGTGTGTGTGTCCACACTCGAATACATGGACAGGGGGTCCAAACCTCGAAGTTCCCATGCCCCTCACTTCTCCTCTCTTTTTCCCTTTACCTTGCTTCTCATCACTAGGACTGGTGTCTCCTTCAAGATGCAGCTCAGGAGTCACCCCATCCCCAACCCCCAGAGCCTCAATCCCAGCCAACCCCGCCTGGGGCACTCTCGGCATCACAGTTTCTAAGGATCTTGGGCTTATTCCTGCCTGGGCTGCCTCACACATCAACCCGGGCTCTTTCCTAGGGTAGAAGACAGTCTCTGGGGTTCCTAGCACCCAGCACAGTGCCAAAGGCTGGACAGGCTCAGTAGAGGAAGGAAGGATTGCCTATGCCAGGGTAGCTGGGGCATGGGTGCACCAGGATCCACAGGACCAACAGGATACAGCTGGACAGAGGGGCTGCCAAGGGGAGTTGCAAAGTGGGTATTAAAGAAAAGGGTTAGAGATGTCCTCAAGCTAATGACAAAGGCTTAAACTGGAAGGGAGGAAAGATGAGGGGAGATTAATCTGTAACAAGCTACAGGCTCACAAGAGCAAATGTCTGCTTTCCCTTCTTGAATGTGCTTTAAGACATGGAGTGCCAGATATCCTGCTTGCAGCCCTGGCTAGTCCAGAGGGAATGGCTGCTTCTCCCTGAGGACAGCTCAGCTTGTCTGTCCCAAAGCATTCCCCACTAGGGGTAATCTACCCCCCTAGTTGGTATAGGTTCAATGTAAATAGCCCAGGTCTGCCAGCCTACTTCAAAATTTCATTATAAAGTACTGTGGCTTTTAGATCAGACAGACTTTTTTTTTTCCCCAAGTGCTACCTAACCTTGCTAAGGGGCCATAGAGCTGTGGCAGCCTGTCCCAGGAAAAGTCCTTTTTGGCTATATCTATAATGAGTCAGTAAACTCTTTTCTTATCAAGATCCCTTGGTCTCAAGAGTTTTGTTTAGTGGTGGAGCAGTGCTGGAAAGTAGAAGTCATCATGCAGACCTGCAGTGTCTTAGGATGGAGTCCCAGTTCAGCAACAATAGCCCTTCCCCACACCACCCTGCACTTTCCCATTCTGTGCTGTGCTCTAGCCGTACACACCCCTTGTCTACCTACAGACCCCACGGTGCTCTCTCCTCCCAGGCTTTGCATGCTGTGGTTCCTGCTTTCTGACTTGGACCTCCAACCTCTGCCCCACATCTCCAGCTTTCCCCTCAAGAGTTATTCCTCATGCTCCTCACCTCTTGAGTCACAGCTCTCCAAGCTTGTTAGACCCACCTTCCCAGTCACTCCCTAATCTGGGTGATGCACCTCCCTCTCTCTTTACTGTCCTCCCCTCCCCATAGCTCTGACTATACACAACACTGTAATTTTCTTTTGGGTATCCCATGAGCTGTGAGTTGTAGATGTGAGTCTGCATCTGCCTTGTTACCCTATCCCCCATATCTGTAATAATAACTAAGAATATTTCTGAAATAAATTGAGCTGGGACTTGAGAGGTGAGGAGCCTGGGGGAAATGATTCACTAGGAGGAAGATGGAGATGTGAGCAGGGACCGAGGTGCTGGTTGGGGGAAAGAGGGGTCCCGTGAAAAAGGGAAAACAATGCAGAACCTGGGAAGAGAAATGAACAAGAAGAAAGCAATTGTTGTCCTAGGGGGGACAACAAGGCACCAGGGAAAGTGGGTTTACTTTACCTTCGAAAACAAGGAAATCGGTTACTGACACCAGCTGAGGCTGAACACCTACCACGTCCCAGGCACTGCATTTGTTTTTAAATGGAGATTTCCACACAACATAACCTCACGCTCATACCATGAAATCACCGTTAGCTATTTTCAAGCCTGTAATGCTACAGCATTTGGCATTCGTAATGCTGTGCTGCTCTTACTTCACTTCTAAAATACTTTCTCACACCAAGGATGTCCTTACCCGATAGTCACTCGTGTCCCCTGCATCCAGACCCTATGGTCTGCCTATTCTGGATTTTTTCCCATAAATATAATCATATCTGTGCTACCTTTTTTAAAAATTGAAATTTTGTGATTTTCATACAATATAATTTGATGGTGTATAGATCCCCTCCCCTACCTGGACCTCCCCTCACTCCCCCCACCTAATTTAATGTACTCTCTTTTATGTATAATATAGTCTATAGAATCTGATTGTGTCCTCAAATGTCCTTCAGTGTGGGTTCATCCACTGGGTCCCTATAAGACATTGTCTTTCTCCCTCCTAGGAGCCGTCAATTACCAAAAGTTCCTTAGTTTGTGTTGGAACTCCTTACCCACTTCCCTGTGTCTATGTGGGAATTTTTGTCTGGCATGAGCTTGCGTGGGACTTGTGCATGCTGTCACCATTGCTGAGAGTTCATATGAGTAACTGATCGGCTGTCTGGAAGACTGTTTCCTTGTGGTCATCTGTTTCCTCGGGCTCTTACAATCTTTCTGCTTCCTCTTCCACAATGTTCCTTGGGTTTGGGGAAGCAGAGGTTTGAAATAGGTGTCCTATTCATGGATAAGCACTCTGCAGCCTCTTGTTCTCTTCATATTGACCAACTGTGGGTTTCTGTGTTAATCACCATCTGTTGCATAAGGAAACTTCTCTAGTGAGAGGTGAGAGATGCGTGTGTAGAGGCTGCATTGAAGATGTGTCACTTAGGGCTAAGTGTCAGTCAGAGACACTTATTCTCTACATTTGACCAGATCTACAACTCTATAATAGTCTCCATCTGTTGCAAAAAGAAGCTTCTTTGATGAGATGTGGAAAGCATACTTGTCAGCCTCTCTCCAGCAGCCTCAGCAAGACAGGGCCAAGGTCCAAGGAGAGCCAATGGGAACCGAATGGGCTGGTTCTTACTAACTAGCAGAGAAGGCTTGAGCTTTCCTTTTTTTTTTTGTTTTTTTGTTTTTTTGTTTTTTTAAATACAGGGTCTTACTGTGTAGCCCTGGCTGACCTGGAACTCACTATGTAAACCAGGCTGACCCTGAACTCACAGATATCTGCTTGCCTCTGCCTTATTTTATGTGTATGAGTGTTTTGCCTGCATGTATGTAAGTACACCACATGTGTGCAATGCCCACAGAGATCAGAAAAGGGTATCAGATCCCCTGGCACTGGAGTTATTGGTAGTTGTGAGTCACCATCAGGGTGCTGGAAACCAAACCTGGGTCCTTTGCAAGAACAGCCAGTGCTCTTAACCATCTCTCCAGGCCACTTCAACCAAAAGTTCTGATGCAGTACAACCTTCTGTGGACATCCTGGAAACCGTGTGGTAGGCTCTGTGCAAGTTGCTACCATAAAGCTTTCATATTAGTGGGGAGGATAGATAACATACAAGTAAAGAAATAAGATTATTTCAGACAATGGAGAGTGCTACGAGAAAAGTAAAATAGCTTTATTCACTGGTTTCCTGTGAGCATGGCAAGAGGCTGCTACTGTCGACTAGATCAGAAAAAGAGGGCACCTAGTGTTAGTTTCTGCTCTATTGCTATGATCACAATACCTGACAGAAGCACCAAGGGATAAAAGACCACAGTTTCAGATGGTTTCAATCCATCATAGCAGGAAAGGCCTGGCCAAGTAGCTCAGTTCATAGCAGTGGGAGCGTGTGGTGGAGGCTGTTCACATCACAGTGGACCAAGAAGCAGGAAGCAAGATAGGAAGTGGGCAGGCTAACAAGAGGTCCTGCCCCAGTACCAGACCTCTTCCAGATAAATCCCACCTTCCAAACTTGAGACTCTCTCCAAATCATACCACCAGCTGAGGACCAAGCATTCAAAACACAAGCCTATGAGAAATGTTTCACATTCAAATTATAGTATTCCTCTCCTGGCCTGAAAAGGCTTATGACCATCTCATAATGTGAAATGCATTTAGTCCAACTTCAAGTGTTCCCACAGTCTATAGAGACTCAAAGTAATCTCTTAGCTGTGAGTTCCTGTGATCTAAAAGTCAAAGCTATAAACTTCTAGTATACAATTGTACAGAGTAAACATTCCCATTCCAAAAGAGAGGTATGAGGGCATAGAAAAGATAGACGGGACCAAATCAAGACCAAAACCCAGCAAGGCAAAGATCAAATCCTATAGCTCCATGTCCAGCATCCAGGGACACAGTCTCATGATGTGAGCTTCAATAGGCCTGGACAGTACTGCCCCTATGACTTTGCTGTTTACAGTTACCCTCCCTCCCTCCCTCCATTTGGTGCCTGCCACTCACCTCAAGAGACAACCACATTCCCAGCATCTCTGACATCCTGGGAACTCTACTGCAACTTGGGACTCACTCTCACAGTTTCATGGATAGCCTGCAGGGGCTCCAACCCTACTTCACATTGCCTGGCTTACCTGGTTTCACAGGATTTTCTCTGACTCTTTATGGAAGTCTCCATGGCTCTGTAGCTCAGCATTACACATGAGATGGCAGATTCTGCTGCCAGCTTAGCAGCAGCCAGGACCCACTGAACCTCAGCTGCAGCAGATGCCTGGGCAGCCAAACCTAGAACAACACATCTTTGTTTGTTTGTTGTTTGTTTCTGAGACGAGGTCTCCCTGTAGCCCCAGATGACCTGGAACTCACTAAGTAGGCCAGGCTGGCCTTGATCTCACAGAGATCTACCTGCCTCTGCCTCCTGAGATCAGAGATTAAAGACATGAGCCACCAAGCCTGGCTGAAAAACACATCCTTGAGTGGACCATCACAGTAGAGCACATGGTGGCACCCTCTTGTCAAAGGAAAGTCTTTCAAATGAGTTTGTTTTCTGTCAAAGATCAAATTTTTAAAAAATATTTGA